GTTATGCTTATTGTTGTTGCTTAAAAATAAACTTTGCTGCGCGTGGCAATTTTTTTTTTTTTTAGAAGCTTCACATACATATGTATTTACCTCTCACTCTCTGAGCGCGTAGGCGCACTCTCTCGCTCTTTAGGCAAGCATGTGATAAAATGTTTATTCATGCTGTAGCTATCGCTCTCGCTCACACTTGCTTGCTCTGTTGTTAACTTTTCAATTTTGCAAAAATTGGCAAATTTCACTACGAAAAAAAGTTAATGCTTTTTGTTGAAGTGTGTGTGCGTGTTTTTTTCAGTTAGTTTCTCACGCGCACATTTTTAGCATCTTTGCGCATTTTTGTTGTTGTTACTGCTGCTTTTTGTTTGTAACGGACCGCTGCTCTGTGAATTGGGGGGCGTTGCATGTCTGCACTGTTGGTTTTTTCGCAGTCGACGCCTACTTGAAAAATGTTAACTGCACTTTTCAATGGAAGCAATTTCCGAAGAATAGAGAAAAAGAGTTGCTTGGGCAATTTTATTGGGACATTTGAATTTCCCTTTGTGCGCCATGCAGTGGAACTGAAAGCATGATAAGTTATCAAATCCCTGCACATCTTGTAAGATAATTGTACTACTCTACTTATCGTATCATTTCTTGTTGTTGTTAATAAACAAAGTAATCTGAAATTATCTTCTAGCTAATCAAATATTTTTAAAATGATTCAATTGCCACATGGAAATGGAATTTCCTTTGCACTCAGTCGTGTTTGCCATGCTAAGCACATACATACATACATACACATACAATTCATTCTGTGATCTGGGTTGCTAAGCAGTCGCTTCTAATCACATTTTGCACACAACCTGCCCCACGGTCTGACAAGCTCAATGGAATTGGCCGTGAACGAAAATCAAAGAGAATAAAATAGAAATTGTTGAACAGGTGTTTCCAAGTGCGAAAAAGGGAATACCTCCGATTACGTTTGAAATTCGTTTATAAAGTTTGTTCGCTCTTGCTGTTGTTGTTGTCTTCAAATTGACACCGTCGCTCTTGCGTGTATGTGTGTGTGTTGTTGTTGTTGTTGTTGTTGCTGTAATATTGTGACAGGCGCCAAACGGCGTTTTATTGATTTATGAGCGAGTGGAATGATTGATTGATGATTGGCTTTGACTTTCGGCTGTATTGTGATATTTGCAATTCAAATTCAGCCAAAATACAAGAAAAACAGCAAATGAGAGATAGAGAGCACGCATACACATACACGGACGTATCGCAAAGAAAGCGCCGTGAGAGAATGAAGGAGAGACAGAGAGAGAGAGAGAGAGAGAAATTAAATGAAAGCAGAGAAGAAAATTATTGATAGACGTCAGTTGGCTGTTGATCTAAACCAAAACGTTGGGATCCATGGCGAGGGGCGGTGGGTGGTGGGCAGGAATGGGCCGATTGGCGACGAGGACAGTTGGACGGACGAGGCGAGCACATGATTGAAATAAAACGTATAGCACAAAAGAATCCCAACAAAAAGGAAAGCAACAAACACACAACAAATAACAAAACAAAATAAAAGGAATACATATGTATTCATTTATTTTAGCTCATAAATTTAATGCCAGACGGACGGCATAAGATGTACCCAAAATGGTTGCTCCCTAGTTGCCACAGTCTATCCCTGTCTCGCTCGCTCGCGCTCTTCTTCAATTGTATCTAATATCGCCACAGTGTGTCAATTATCAATGATATCCCAATGAAATTATATAGCTGAAACTGCGTTTCCTTGATGGATGACGATATTTTATGATTGTTATTGAATTTCATGAATTTTTGTTGCTATATTTGGATTACTTTCTTTGAGTAATCCAATATTTTAACATTGAAATATAATTTTGTTCCCATATATAGAAAATATTCTTCATTTCGTTCTCATCCATTTACTCTTACCTTTTGCCTACCTCTCCAGAACCCTCACTTTATCAACCTTTCCTGTTACTTTTTCCTTTACTTGTTCCTACCACCCATCATACTCAAATTGTCCACACCATATGCTAATCTGGCAGCCATTTCCTTTCGTCAAGTCGTTTGGGCTTTTGCCATTTCCGGTGGACAGGCGCCGCCGTCTATAGAGTAAATCGGAAAGGGAAGAGGGTATTTGGCTAGATTGAATTTTCTACTTGACCATAACCTTGAGTGTGCTATTATGGAAATTGAATGCGGCAACCAATCGACCTCCCATGAGGTAAGCCGCACTGCTTATTCAATTCCATAAAAAGTAGTATGTTAGCATATTAGGTAGTTATAATTTTAGCCCATGGCAAACAAACTCGATTATATTATCTATATACATTATATTTAATAACATATTTCATTTTATACATGCACATACATATGTAGTATATGTGGCACGATTTTCACAATGGAAAACTTTTTCCTTTATGCATGTCAAACTCAATTTGTTATTTATTTAGACAACTTTTTGGGGAAGGCAAAAAGAAAGAATATCTCCCTGAACTTAAATAGATAGTAAACAAACGTCGTGAAAAATCGAACCAACAAACGGAACTACTTGTGGCATGATACGAGCCAGCTACCACCAACGTTTTCTACGTCCTTAACTGTTCGTTGACTTGACTGAAATTATTTTTACAAGGAATATATTATTTATCGATTTTTTTTTCTTTAAAGTTAATTAATATTTGTGAATATTTAAAGTTAAAGGAATATATATCGATTTGTTTGTGAAGATTTACTTTTTCTGAAACTTACTGTTATCGATAAATATCGACTGTTTATTCTTTAATATGAGTCTACAATAATTACAATAATTAGTATTCATTTAATTTCATTGTAAAGCTGAAGTTATTTGAAAACAAAGAAATGCATTTTCCGACCTTTTCTTCCATAAGTATTCCAAGTCAAGTTCCAGTGAGTAAACAAGTTATCTTTAGATATCTGAGTAGCAGCTGAAAGGGTTTAAAGGGCAGCCAAGAAGTTGTGACTCGTGTTGTTTACCCTGTTTAGCCGGATACGGGGTTCGCTGGTATAACGAACGACCTTGACAGCGAAAAACTTACTATCGGATGTGACTGAAAATGGAAAAAAAAAAACAAAAACAAGCAACTTAAATGGAGGGATGGGGGGAAAAACTTGATTATGGATTTGCATTTTGGGCTGGAAAACGCAATTTGCAGTCGTCGTGGACTGCAAATGAAAATCAATAAAAATCGCAGCAGACGGCCAAATGTGAAATGGAAAAACGGGAGAATGTCAAATGGCGCTACAAGCGCTAAAAACTGAGTGAAACTGAAAAGCTAACTGAACGTGAAAGTTGCAAAAAGAAGAGTGGTGAGAAGGAGGGGGAGGAGAAGAGGAGAAGTAGGGTGCAGGAGCAATGGGTAACGCCTTTCTTTCATTAGCGCCTCTGCCTAAGGGGCTAAGTGGGCGTGCGAGTGTGTGTGTGTGTAGCTGTGTCTGTGTGGGCGTGTGAGTGCGGGGGCGTTGTCTGCCATAAACGCTGCGAGTTGCCACAAAATTTTCGCGTAGGTTTAAACGTAGATTTAAGCGCAGATTTAACCTGAGGCTGAGCAAGCTACAATCTACATCTTGTTCAATAGGATGCTGTTGTTGGTAGAGCTGCCAGTAAGTTCAAGTGAACTGAACTGGATTAAGGATCGGTAAATTTGTGAACATCTACTACTACTATATATCTACTGCAGTTTGATCTGGAAAACTTTGAAACTCGAATTTGAACAAACAGAGATTTATTGAACTGATTCCTATTTCAGTGAATAAGTTTTTTTGAACTGATTCCTCCCACAGCATGCTAGCCAGAAGTTATGAAGCCTAGACCAAACTAAATATGATTTAATGTTTCTGTCCTATATTCCAAATAGAAATATGATATTTATACGCTTTTGTTGCTCGAAACTAATTCGAACTAGCTCATTATTAACTTATAACTACTCAAGTAATAAAGTTTTCCTTTAGTTTTTAAGCGGAATTATATTCGCTCATTAGCGTTCATTTGTGGGCGTTGGCGAAAAAAAAAAAATATGCACAAGTGTGCAAAGTTAATAAGCGTAACTGCGTTTGCTTCACGACGTCGAGGAATATGTGTATATGGAGGGTAAGCTGAGAAAAAAATATATATATTTGTTATACATTAAGTAGGACATTCTTGAGACTGCCCTCGTAAATATTTATATCTACGTAGTATCAGTTTCTGTTCACAAGGCAGGGGGGCGAGCGGCTGTTGCAAAATTTGCGTGACAAAATGCACTCTGGTTATCGCGTCGCTTCGCTTTGCCTGGCCCAAATTGGAGCTGGAGGTGAGATGGGCAGAGGCAAGAGGCGCAGAGAATGGGAAAGGTTTTCCATAATGCATTGTCTTTTCGCACCTAATTACGCCCTCGCGTAGTCCACTGTTTGTTAATTCATTAAGCATATTTGCCTAGCAGAGGCAACAAAAGAATCATTCCCCTCCACTCTGCCCCCCCATTGTATATAGAACCTGGCCGAAGAGAATGTTTGAAGTTTATGCGAACTTAAGTGGGCTTTCGTGTGAGTTGCAGTTAAACAAGCTATTGATTGCCTCAAACCCATTATCAATTCGAACATTTCTTTTTATTTTTACTGACGCACATTTCGCTTGTGCCTTATTGGATTTGCGAGCATTTCCGGAGGTCGATGTCCGCTCTATAAAGAAACAAAAAATCTGAAAATTTGCATACTACAATTGAGCGAAAATGTAAGGAAAGAAACATACATACTTATACGTATATATGTGCAAATATAGCAAAAATTTCTCTTCGTTCACGAAAAGCTATCAGCTTGATTCAAAATGTTCGCCACACGTATTGAAATTTTGAGCAATTATACTAATTTATATAATTAATAAATTGAAAGAGAGGAAACTTAAGATGTCTCATGATAAGATATGGCCAACATCAGAAGGATCAAAGCAAAATACCGCGCAGCATCTCTCCTACTGACAATGAAAAACACTATCTCAATCAATATAAGTTTCGATAAGAGCCAAACAGGATAGAGTCACTACTATAAAAAGAGCTTGTGCCTCTTTTTCGGTCATCATTAGTCTGAATTCCAGTCAAGATGAGAGCACAATACGGTAGTTATAGTGTGACATACCTTTTGCAGAGGTCCTTTATTGTTATATCTTGAACACTTGCAGTCCTTTTGGCTTGCCTTGCCCTCCTGGCTGTCGCCATCGAAGCTGCCTCCATTAAATCATCGGCTAGCAACGATCTTTATCGTCGCGTTGTTTGTGTTAGTAAGCCGAATGGATTCCGTACTCTTCAACCTGGTAGCTGCTCGCAGTACTTCGAGTGCTTGGCTGGTGTTGCTGTACAAAAATCATGTGAACGTTTCTATGATCCCAATGTCCAGCGTTGTGTTAACTACAACACCGGCTGCACCGAGGAAAAACAGTTGAGCGACTCGAAACCGATCGCTGGCACTGTGGTAGCATCAGAGCCGTGCGAAACGACAACTTCTCCATGTGTTGAGACTACAACTCCTCCTTGTGCTCCTGAAACTACAACCACCACCTGTGCACCACCAGCAACACCGACAACCCTTACAACAAAAACAACGACAACAACTACATCCAAAATAACCACAACAAAAACAACTACAACAACTACGCCCAAGACAACCACAACAACAACAACCACTTGCACCACACCAACAACAACCACAACAAAAACAACTACAACAACTACGCCCAAGACAACCACAACAA